CAGCGGCCGTTGGGGCGCGGGGCATGACGGGAAGGCGGCGCAGGCGCGAGCGCGAGCAGCCGCCTCACCCTTCCCGCCTTTTCCTGAGGGAGCGTCGCGATCGTCCCCTCAGGGACCAGGTGAGGGAAACTGGGGGGAGGGGAGTGGGGGGGGAATTACCCCCCCCAAAAAGAAAAAAAAAAGGAAAAAAAAAAAGAAAAAAGGCTTTGGAAGTTTATTATCTTTGATAAAATCTCGACTGAAAGGGGTGGACTCTGTGGTAACAGCTGCAGAAATGCACAAAAACTTATTATCCGTGGGGCAAAGTCAAGTGCTTTTTGTTTGTTTGTTGGTTTGGTTTTGTTGGGGTTTTTTTTAGTTTTTTGTTTTTTTTTTTCACTAGACATTAAATTAGAAATTACATGGAATGACACAGGATGGGAAAGTCCTACCCGAGAGCAAAGTCCAGTGAGAGTTTTGGTAAAGCAACGTTCTGATTAAATAGCTCAGAATGAATTCTAGTTAAGAAAAGCTTATTTTTCCCTATACAAAATTACAATACAGAGAACGCGTACAATTACAATACGGGGGGGGGGTTTAAACTGTTAGTAGCTATCAACTAGAACAGAAACTTCATAGTAAAAAACTTCATGGAAATTAAAATAAGTCAATTTTCTTAAGCTGTAAAACTTGAGACAAACGCCAAGTTCTAGAAGAGACACTTTCAGATTCTTACCATAAAATACATTTTTTTTTAAAAAAAAAAAAAAAAATGGAATTTGGTTAGGAAAATGAAGCAAGTTCTTTTAAAACAATTTCACATCCCAATGGGCAGAAGTAAAAAGAACTCAACTGTGTGAGGTTGAGAGGTAGAGAGGTATCATTGTAATCACAATCTTCTATTGGGTCCAGGGTTTGGGGGTTTTTGTTTTCTTTTCTGAGGTAATTAGCTGTGTGTCAAGTTGTATAAACAATAGTATTGACAAAAAAAAAAAGAGCAACATTGACAAATTACACTAATGACCTCTTTCCTCTCATCAATAGGTCCTAAAAACTTAATTAGACGCATCCGAATTAACACTTCCAGGGTCTCCAGCAGGTGAAGTGATTGATGAAGGGGTGGTAGCATCCTGCCAGCTGCCATTAGCCTGAAGGGAGGAATAAATATATTGTTTCATTAAATCTGTTAGAAACTACTTGCAGACAAAAAAATAAAAAAAATAAAAAAATAAAAGCCTTTATACTTTTACACTTTACACAGCTTTTGAAGAGAATTAAATATGTATCAGCTCTGGCAAAGCACAGTCCACAAATATCCCGTAAAACCTCTCCCCACCCCAAGATTTTATAGTGTTAACTCTTTATTCCTAGTGCCATCTCCTCATGACAAGAATTAACTGAAACGCACAAATTTTCTGGTGAGCAAAGCCACAATTTTAAATCAAGTCACTCAGAGGGGAAAGGCTGGAAGTTTAAAGCCACAATTTTATATCAAAGCCACAATTTTAAAATCAAAGCCACAATTTTAAAATCAAAGCCACAATTTTAAATCAAGTTCTCAGAGGGAACTACATCTTTTGCAGCTTTTTTTTTGGTTGAAGGTGGGGGGGGAATAAAAATTCAACATTTATTCACAGATCATCAACCCATCATGGGGCAGAATTTGTGTTTCTAGTAATTAATACCTCAGGACATCTTACATCTATACGCTGCGTTGTGTACAAAGGATTCCCCACAATTGTGTCATATCTTCCTGTCTGGTGTATGACGTGATGTAAGGAATCCATCTGGAACAAAAATCCCACACAATGAGAACAATCAGGATAAAAAAAAAAACTTAAAGAAATGCAGCTGTATGTGGTACATATCGATTTGGGCCAAAAATGACTTAAACAAGGGGCAGGAAGACAAGTTTTCTTTGCAGTTCTTGCTGTGAACTGAACTATACCTAACTAGTTCGTTAGCAAGCACAATTAGAGCCTATCACCTATCACTTTAATTACATAGAAACAGATTTTGTGCAGTTCAGATGGATTTAGACATTCAGCAGAAAGTTTAAAATCAGTTTATTGATATTGTTAACCACAAATCCTAAGCAAAGTTCTATTTATAGAGAACAAAACTGACTCTAAAATGAGAAAATGCTGATTCATTAATATAAATTTAAAGGGTTAGAAGAATAGAAGTAGGTTTATTTAGGTATCAGTTAATTCTGTAAGAGAAAATTCACATTTGAGCAGGTTTAGTTATTGACTCATTGGAGAAATTTCACTCTAATTTAAATTTCTTGCATCCTGGCCAGAGACAGAAAAAAATCCATCCCTGTCTGGTATTAAGAGAATCTATTAAGATTCTCTTAATATAATAAATAAAGAAATAAATTAGATTGTCTAATCCAACCTTGCTGTTTGAAGCGGGGTCAATTAGAGCAGGTTGGGTTTTGAATATCTCCAAGGATGGAGACTCCACAACCCTGGGCCACCCCCTCATATCATAGAAAAGACAGAAAAATGGGATTTTAACATTTATCTCACTGCTGAAAGTACAGTTTGGGTTTGTTTTGTTTTTTCTTTACTGACCTGTGACTGCACATTGGCTCCCACCGGGGAGCTCTGGTAAGAAGTCAATGACTGCAGGTTTATAAATGAATCTCCGGAATTTGTCATCTTAAAAGAGCCAGAGGAAGCTGAAAAATAATTAATAAATAATAATTATAATAATTAATAATAAAGAACATGTTTTAATGAGAAATAAAACCCACCAAAAATGCTTTTTCAACGTGTATCATGTAAATTTAAAAGGAAAAAAAAAAACTACAATTGTTTCAAACACCATATTCCATGGTACTAATTGTCCCAAGAAATAATTAAAGACTTTCAAGCAGACAAGTCTCTTCACTCACCTGAATTTGGTGTAGCTGGAGAATTTGCCTGGTTGCCTTGAGCCACGACGTTGGTCGCATCCACTGCTGTTTTCGCGGCATAAATATTGGCTTCTTCTTGGAACTTCCCCATGTTTTTTTTATATCGAATTCTTTTATTACCAAACCAGTTGGAAACCTGGAGATATGTATTGCTATTAGTGTTTCATCAAATTATTATTCCATTTTCCACTATATTTAGAAGTTATCAGCAAGGAAAATGTTTTAAATGAGGCTTCAAGCAGAAAATACTCACTGCTTAACCCTTCAGAATAACCTAAATCCTACTGAACCCCTCAGAATAACTGAAAATCTATTTAAAGCAACAATAACTGAAGCCTGTTGCTAACTACAGGGGGAAAAAACAACATTATTGGAGGAAAAGGAAGTCACTTAATTCCAGATCAAACACTTCTTCATACCTGTGAAACTGTGATGCCACCTTTCTTGGCTAGCTCTTCTTTGGCCTCTTCGCTGGGGTAAGGATTACTCAGATGCGAATAAAAATATTCATTCAGCACTTCCGTTGCCTGTTTGCTGAAGTTACGTCGTTTACGCCTAGAGAAATATTAAGTGATTCTTATTTAAACGGTGTTCTGGAGGAGATTGGACAGAGTACATCATTGGATTTTTTATTTTTCCCTCTAAAATAGGTTTAGTTTGAAGGAGAATGTAAGAATTGAGTGGAATTCGAGGGATGATGATGGCAGAGCAGGCATAACAAGTGGTGAATTCTTAATGTTTAAATTTAATATTCTTAAATTTAATATTCTTAAATTCAAGAGATTATGATGGCAAAGCAGGCATAACAAGTGGCAAATTCTTAATATTTAAATTTAATAAATATTCTTAAATTCAAGAGATGATGATGGCAAAGGAGGCATAACAAATGGCGATTTCTGAATGTTTAAATTCAATATTCTTAAATTTAATATTCTTAAATTCAAGAGATGATGGCAAAGCAAAGTGGCAAACTGAATATTTAAATCCAATATTCTTAAATTTAATATTAAATTCAAGAGATGATGATGGCGAAGCAGGCATAACAAGTGGCAAACTCTGAATATTTTAATTCAATATTCTTAAATTTAATATTTTAAAATTCAAGAGACAACAAAAGAAGTCCAGGCTTCAACACGTGTTACTCAGAGATGATGTTTTCTCGTACCTTGCGTCCAGGAAGCGGGAACGCAGGATCATGACGGCCTCGCACGTGCTCTGCTTCAGCTGCATCTGGATGGTGCTGAATTTCCCGTGGATTATGTTCACCATACGCTCTATTTCTTTAGGTGAGATGGGTCTTGTTCTGCTCTGTTCCCTCAGCAGGTTCATAACGTGGGTGGTGAACTCGCTGCAGGCCTGAAAACACACACGTTTGTCTCGACAAGTGATAAAATACCCGAGAATTTGTTTCCCCAACAAGAATATATATTTATATATATATAAAACTTTAGGAGTTTCCATGTTTCAGCTTTATTTACCCTTAAAAAAAGGCAACAAAGATAAACAAGACAGTTATTATCTTTAGTTTCATGTCCACTCCCTCTATCTTCACCTTCCTTCTGTTACCCTGAGATAACTTCTCCACTTAGAATTCGTTTCCCTCACGTTCACCTGAATTCATTCCACTTCTTAAAACCGACACCAAAGGAAAAAAGGGTTATTTTTAAATTGAGATGATAAAAACTCTTCCATGCAGAAAGATCACCTGTTCATATTTCTCTAGCTCAGAGTGGTAAATCTGTCGGATCTGTGACAGCTTGGCCCTGTAGTCAGAGTGTTCAATGCTATTGTCATTTGGACAGCCACCTGATGTTGCTGCTACAGCCATCGGTCCTCCTCCTCTTCCTCTTTTCTCGGGCCCGGAGACACCCTCCGCCAGCAACATGTTATCTAGTCTCATTAGTTGAGCATCTGGGGGATCTTCTTCCTGAATACCACGAATACTTAACACTGGATAAATATAAAGAGGGAAATCAAAAGGTTATTTCAGAAACAGGAAAGAAAGAACATTCCACTTCAGTTCTGCCAAAAGCATTTCAAGGCTCTTCATGGGTTTTAGTAGGTCTTGAGCTCAAGAAAAATAAAATATAGGAGTGTTTTAACAAAATGTCCTGGTTTTGCTAGGATAGAGGCAACACAGTGAAACATTCGGATCGAGAAACACCAAAACGCCGGGCGAGTTTTCAACCGCGCGCAGATAAAAGACCCCACGGGGTCGTACGAGTGGACGGTGCGTTTGGAAAGTGGTTTAGAGGTCTGTAAAAATCAGAAGCGGGTTCTAACAGAGCAGATTCCCCCCGTATCAGCGTCCTCCTGGCTCCTGCCATGGTCCTCCATTTTACAATGGCTGAATTTTAAAATTCTATTCAAGTTCTGCTTAAAAGCTACCTAAAATTCTACTTAAAATCCTACTTAAAGTAGCGTCCTCCTGGCTCCTGCCATGGTCCTCCATTTTACAATGGCTGAATTTTAAAATTCTATTCAAGTTCTGCTTAAAAGCTACCTAAAATTCTACTTAAAATCCTACTTAAAGTCTACTTAAATTCTACTTTAAATCCTACTTAAAGTCTACCTAAAATATACCCAAAATTCTACTTTAAATCCAATCTAAAATTCTACTTTAAATCCTACTTAAATTCTACTTAAAATCTACCTAAAATATACCCAAAATTCTACTTTAAATTCTACTTAAATTTTACCCCAAATTCTACTTAAAGTCTACCTAAAATATACCTAAAATTCTACTTTAAATCCTATCTAAAATTCTACTTTAAATCCTATCTAAAATTCTACTTTAAATCCTATCTAAAATTCTACTTTAAATC